ACAGAGTCAAGTTATTTGTTGACCCCTGGTTGGTTCATGGAAAAAGTGGCAAGGATGGAGAATCAGCCACCTAAAGTTCCAGGAAGGACTGCTCTCAAACAACAGGGTTGGTTTCCCTGTTGCTTTAAAAAAGAAAAGAAAACTCTCTGGTTCACTGTGAAGTTCCCTGTGTTCAAGATGTAGGGTGATGGCAGTGGAAACAGTACAACCTTTAAGAGGAACTGCAGTCCTACCCAATCTCCCCAGAGAAAATCTTTAATGAACCAAGTGGTTTACTATCTTCCAGCTAAGAAATGAGAACTGATAAATAGGGACAGATTGAAATCAAGAATTCTACACCCACATAGTAGGTTAAGTCTTTGTTCTTCTTTGTGGGTCCTTTCTTATCTTCTTTGCTCTTTCTTTTACATATTTCCACAGATTCTGAAGTTTTATTCTATATTTCTTCCCTCATCTATTGGTTGTTTATGAATAAGCTGTTTAATTTTCAAATGCATAGTTTCCAAAGCTTCTCTTGTTTTTGATCTTCAGTCCTATTGCATTATGGTTGGAAAAGATTCTCAATGTGATTTCAATTTTTTAAAATTTGAGACTTCTCTTGTGGTCTAGCATGTATATGATGTATCCTGGATAATGTTCCATGTACTATTGAGAAGAACGCACATTCTCCAGCTGTTGGATGGGGTGTTCTTTGGAGGCCTGCTGCGTTCATTTGGTCTCTGATACAGTTTAACTCTGCTGTTTATTTGCTGATTTGGGACTCTTTCTTTTAGATTGCATTTTTCCATTCGTTCCTCCTTTGAAGTCCATATGTTGTTGAGCCTGAAGGATGAGGGTCTCTTCCTGCGTTGGGTAGGACTTTTGAGATTATAGAAAAGATTCTCTAGCTGAACTGGCAATACATTATGATTTATGTTGGGTGTCCTCAGAGAGACATGGACATGTGGCATTTTCCTAATAAATACGGTCATATTATGGCAGAATATTTAAAATTTGCATAAGTTTTTTTTTGTATTAAAACAAGCCTTTAAGGTAATTTTATATGTTCAGTATGGTGCATTTGGCCCTGACTCTGAATGTTGGACATGGAGAGTTGAAGGGCAGGCTTACAGATGTTGCCCCTTCTTAACAAACAGCCCACATTTGTCTGTGATGAGCTGTTTAACTAACTTTGTTGGCAACTGGGGTCATGGTCATTGCCAAGACAAAAATATCCATCCTAGTCACCATCATTATGACCAAAAATTTGGTATGGGTGATATTTAATAAAATTTGAGGCACAAAACAAATAACAGATTTCTTAAGTGACATCATATGATATTTAATTTAAATATTTCTTTACAACTTCAGTGCCAGATGATTTATCTTTATTATAGAAAGTACTATTTATTCAAATATTTCCTTAAAAAGACCTATGAAGGTGTACATAAAAGTATGTTTGTTCATGTATAAGTTTTGGTGATTATCTTTTTCTAAGAAAATGATTTCTTTCTCCTTTATAGCAAATTGTGTTATAGCATGCTAATGGGGATTTTAGAGTCTGTAACAATTTACGGTTTATATGATAGATATGTGATTGTATTTTTTTTTAATGAAGTAATGCTTCTCTTGGATTTTTTTTTTTTAATGAAACTGGTGAAAATGGAATCTTAGGAGACTTCATTTTACAAGCAGATGCCTGAAGTGCATTCCATCAATGTTTACCCTTGCCTAAGGAACAGGAAGTTCTCAAAAGGTTAAGGATTTGTTTAGGCTGGTCTAATTGGTCTATTGGCTTAACTACAAGAGCTTTGGAGAAACACATGTGGAACATCCCACTGACAACTATTTTATATATTTTTATTTTAATGTTTCTTAGTCAAGTAAATGGAGGCGGTAATGAGTGCATTTGACTTTGAGCTCTCTTGGCTAAGCAGGCACCAGTAAGACTGGTGCAATCCTCTAGGAACACTGTGCATGTGGAAGACAGCACCTCCCACCCCTGAAGGCACCCCTATTGGCTTTTCTCACTCTGCCATCACATTGTTGCCACCTGCCACCCCAACCCCGTCCTTTCGCTGGTCTGCTTTTCTGATTAGTTGGGTATTTTCTAAAGCACCATTTCCATAACATGCCTTCCCCTAAAACCTGCCTGTGTTCCCATCTCTCCCATTTCAAGTCCTCAAACTCTGCCTGGGTTTTCAGTATGTGAAGAGTTTGCCATCTTCATATATTTCTTAATTATGTTCATGTTGGTACCTCCGGTTCAACACAATATTTAAATTTTCTTTTTTTTTTTACTCCGGTTTGTACTCTAAGCCTCACTTTTAAACTCTTTTGAATACATGTTTGAAGACTGGCAGGTTTCGGGCCTGCCTTAGTCAACGTGAGACCTGTGAACTTACATGGAATGGCATACTGGAATCACGGATTTCTTGTAACTGACCAATGAACTAAAAGCATGACTTCAAAGGAAGCCGTCAGTTACGACTGCTAATGAGTATAAGGCTGAGCCTAGACGGCAGACTTGCCAAACGTGCTCACCTGATTACAGGTGTGGTCTTTAGCATCCTGTGTGTTTACTGGAGAATGAAGAATGCCCCGCTGGGAACACTGGCTTAGATATTTGACCTCTGAAAGGGTTTATAGTGTTTTTCAATTATCAGTATTTGTGGTGAGCACTATAGGATGGTGAGATTAAAACACAGAAATGCTCTTAGAGTTTTTTAAACAAAGACTTAAAAATGACATATAATTCTCCTAGTATTTATGTGATTTCCTTATATTTTATTCCAAAGAAATATTATTAAAATAATAAAATAAACATAAGGGCTTATTCAGATCAGTAGAAATGTTAACTTAAATCAACTATTTTTGTCTATATGATGTATGGTTTATAGCATGCTTTTTTATGTACTAAATTCTTTCAAAAAATTGAAGTGCACTAGAAGGAAACAAATTAGAGTTAGGATTTCCATCTCCATAGCTCTGTTACTCAAGAACACTTACAGTATGTTGGGAAGGATATTATTTTGGTATATAAAATGATCACATTCATAACCAAGATGGACATATTTTTGGTCCCTAAGCAACAATACAAGGCAATACTTATTCAGGAGCCTGAAAAAGATTTTGAAGACCCAACAGCACTCAGCCATGGTATCCAAGAATGCACATGCTCACGACCTGTCAGTCCCCACCAGGCGAGGTGTGCAGGTGAACACTGAATGATTTGACATGTTTCTGAATTGAGCTCTGTTGGTGTTAATAGTTCAATTGATATTTTTAGTTCGTTTTGATCAATGCACACCTACTCCATGACTCCTTCACTAGTCCGATAATATTTTAACACAAGTAAATTTTAGTTTACTATTCTTAGATTATAGTTTTTCAAATACGTGTGCTCGAGGGTATATCATATGGTGTACTTTGGTAAAATTGGAAATATTTATGACCAGAAAAGAAAGAATAGCTACTAAAATCACATCCCCTCTTGGTATTACAGAAACTTGACAAGAACAAAGCTTTTCAGTTTGTTGCGGCTGTGTCTCAGCAGCTAGAGAAGACCTGAGGTACACCAGGGCAGGTGCTTAATAGGCATCTGTCAAAGGAAAACAAAGAACATGATAAAACAGGAAGGGCCTGATTGGCCTGTTCTTAGCCCTGGTATTGGATTATCCCCTACACGGAGACCTTATGAAGCACATGGGAATATGAAGCAAAAGAGTATGTTTCAGGCTCAAATATTTGAAAAAAAAATGGTGAAAAAAATTTTAAAAGGTGCATTTTGATTGTACACAGCAGGGAGGTTCATTGTGACAGCCACACATGCATATAACATAATTTAATCGATATCGTTCAGTACCGCCCTTTTTCCTCTCCTTCTCCCTTCCCCTATTCCCTTTCTCAACTCTAGTGTTCTCCCTTCTATTTTCATGAAGTTCCTTTTTGCATATTTCTATCTAGCTTCCACTAAGGAGGGAACATACATCCTTAACGCTCTGTGTCTACCTTATTTCGTTCAGCATGATGATGTAAAGTTCTGTGCATTTTCTTGAAAACCACATAATTTCATTCTTCTTTATGGCTGCATATGGGTGCATATTCAAAGACACCAGATTTGAATTTCGGTAATTTTATGACTGTGAGTCACAAATTTAAAATTCTTTGTTTATGTCCCAGTTTTCTCTTCTATAAAATCAAGGTAGGACATACATTTGAGGATGTTCAATTTATGAAATGAATAACATGTACAAATTGCCTAGGAGACCACCTGGCATAAAATGGACACCCAATAAGTCCTGCCATCGTTCCTGTATTTGCCGAAGTGCCGCGGGTAGGTCATGCTGTCACATCCAGGTCTCTCTCCTTGCTCTTATCTGGATATCACCAGACGGGTCCTCTCTGCTTTGATATGTTTCATGATAACTCTGGAAAGTATTCTAACTAAGACACCAAGAATAAATAGCAGATTAAAATGTCCAGGGAAACTAGCTACTTACTGTTAAGGGGATTCTTGAAGAGTCTCACCACAATAGAATGATATAATGACAAACTTTTAAAATAGAGTGTCAAGACCATTAAAAAGAGTTTTGACCTGGAACATGACCTTCTGAGCAGCAATGCTATTTTCTATTGCCCTCTGTGCTGCATGTGGACCTGTGACTGGAATGAATATTCTCAAACTTGCTGGACATTTTTTTCTCACTTGATGATAAACTCAAAGCACGTAAGTATCTGAGAAAGTAGGTAGGAGGGTCCTGGATCAGGACTGGCAGGTTTCTTTCTGTCTGGATGCTCAGCTCTGCAGGGAGAAAGGGAAAGCAAGAAGCAATGCCGGCTGTCACACCAGTTTGGAATGTTCTAGCTGTGACCAAGCAAGACAGGTACATCCTAGCAAGTGGGAGGGGCCTTTCCACTGGATCTACTCTCTTTTCTTTTTCTTTTTTTTTTATCAATTCATTCTGTTATATTTTCTTTAATTAAGTACAAAGACCTCTACTCTCTAAGCATATCACCTAGAAACCATTTATTTCACCTACTGCTCTGTTTGGCAGCCAGTCTCTTGTCTCTCTCTTCAGCAATGATGAATCGGATTCCTTTTCCTTGGGGAAGAGAAATCCATGGTTTGTTGCCTTTGCCAATAGCAAAAATGTTGGAGAGCTGGGTGGCAAAACTGTTGCCATTGGCATCTTTCACATGAACCACGTCAAAAGAGCCAGAATGTCTCTCTCTTTCTCTTGGTAATCACACCAATTCTTCCCAAGTTAGCACCATACACAGGTTACCAGTGTCAAACTTGATGAAATCAGTAATCTTGCCAGTCTCCAAATCAGTCTGAATGGTATCATTCACTTTGATTAGGGGATCAGGGTATTGAATGGTTCGACCATCATGCGTCACCAGATGAGGGATTCCTTTTGTGCCCACAAAGAGCTTTCTCACTTTGCACAACTTGTACTTGGCCTCCTCAGGTGTAATGCGATGAACAGCAAAACGACCCTTGGTGTCATAGATCAGATGGAAATTCTCTCTAGTCTTATCAATGCTGACGACATCCATAAAACCGGCAGGGTAGATGATATTGGTTCGGACTTTGCCATCAATCTTGATGAAGCGCTGCATGCAAATCTTTTTTACTTCATCTCCCGTCAGGGCAAACTTAAGTCTGTTCCTTACAAAAATGATGAGAGGAAGACATTCTCTTAGCTTGTGGGGACCAGTGGATGGACGAGGAGCAAACACTCGAGTCAATTTATTCAGCATCCAGTGCTTTGGAGCTCCTCCCCGCCTCAGATGCTTCTTGGGACCACGAGCCATGGCTGCTCTAGGAATGGAAAGAGCTACTCTCTTTTCATGAAGCAGTAGAAGTTCCCTGGAGTAGGTCAAGGATGCCTAATAGAGTTTAGAAAAGATATGTGACAATCACAACGAAGAGATTAAAAACTGCCTCTCAAAGGCAACAACGACATTGATTTTATGGAGGGCTCCCACACAGAGATTTTAAATCACAGCTAATGATGACCCTTTTGCATGAGACACATGTGAATAATAATGACAAAATTAGAATAATAAGACCATCCAATTTGCAGAATTATCCTAAGTATCAAGTCACCTTATAAATTAAATGGCAGTGACCACAGAGACTCCATCCCAGTCCTTCTCAACCTTAACAGCATCATAGCACTCAGTCCCAAGTTGCTATTAAAAAAGGGATTTTTGTCCAGGATCTTAACTTGCTGCTTGCAGTGAGAGGAGGCTCTTGCTGGTGTCTTGACACCTCCGTGAATCTGTTCCTGGAGAATGTGACATCTCTGGAGGGAAGACAAGAGGAAGTTATGTTCATGGTGTGAAAATGAACAACAGCTCACAAAGGTCTCCAACTATCCGCTGCCAAGCAGTAATTGAATGTGCATGGCCGACCTGGGTTGTGTGGGATGCTTCAGAAGGCCCCGAGGACAGGAAGAAGAACAAGGCGAGCAGCACTTTCCTGCACAAGAACACATAAGTTTTGGGACATAATCAGCTGTGAGAAACTGTTATAAGAGCTATAAAATGGGAATGTATAGAATGGTTTTTTGAGAGCACTCAGGGAAAGACATTTGTGCCCAGGAAGAAGGGAGGGTCAGGAGACGCTTCAAAGCTCCACAGAGAATGAGAAAGTGTTTTTTTACAAAGACCAAGAAACAATGAGCTCACAAAGGTTTAGACTGGGCCATCTTTCCAGCCCTGTGAATCCCCTCCAGAGACCCATTCCCTGGGCAGAGGACATTCACTGAGATACCAGGATGCCATCAAAAGCCTCCTGAGGATGCCTGCAGGAAAGGTCAGAAGACTCAGGATTGCTATAGCACAGGGTATATTGGGAAACAGTGGTATGGGGCTGGGAAGATGGCCAGGGCCCAGACATTGGAGGACCTTCTGCACCAAGCCAAGGAATTCAGTCTTTGTATCTCATCATAGAGAGCATTAAGGAATTTTGAGCAGGGGATAACATGATTGGACTCTAATTACATAAGGAGCAGCTCCAATGTGAAAAATAAATAAATGAATAAGGTGTATAGAAGTGAGCAGGTGTTGGAGGTCAGGGAAATCAGCGTGTGCATGGGGTGGGGGATCTCCTGCCTTGCTTCCGAAGAAAGGCATTTGAGTCAAAGCTGTGGCTATCCACAGGGAGCAACAGGGAAACAGCTTGCTAGGGGGGAAAGCACGTGTCCCACTAAGATTCCGGGTTAGGTTAAAAGAGGAAGTGGAGAAGACACACTGGGGAGGCCAGTAGTCTCCTCTGCCATCGTCACCAAGGACTAGTCAGTGACACCAAGCAAGTTTCCATCAGCTCCTCCCCTCAGTCCTGGCCTCTCCTGAGTAGATGATCTGGCGAATGTGACATTTACACTGGAGTGCCGCACGACAGTAACTCCAGAGTTTGTAAACTTTGGGTTTGAAAGTTTGTGTTGGCCGATTTCCCTCGTTTGGGGTTTGGTTTGTTTGGCTAGGGAGTGGCATATTCAGACAGGCTCGAACACCAGCCCGCAAGTACAGTCCCGGGCGTGGTGCTTGCTGGGGTTCAGCACACCAGTGAGCTCAGTGGACAGCCCTGGTGGTGGGTGTGGGATGTGCGGGCAGCAAGTGGAGTGCAGCAGTGAACACAGCCCGTTTGGCTGCCCCCAGCAGAGGGTGGGAGGGAACTCCATCTGGAGTCTGGAAACTGGGTTCAGGCTCCATCCTGCCACTAGTTCATTTTATTCCCTGGGGGAAAATACCTCAAATTCACTTTTTAGGTAAACTGCAAAATAGTTCAATTTTCGATACTCTCTTTTCATTTTCTTCTCCTTCTATGTTTTAAACTAGGAAATGTACACAAGGCCAAGCACATTTCTGATTTGTGCCTATATCTGCTTTTCTTCCTGTCTTGAGTAAAACAGACTTGTTGAAATTTTAAAATACACTTCTGGATATTTATAAGAACATGGCATTACTGACTTGAATGAAACTATTACTGGCATTTGATAATTTAATAGATCTTTATTTTTCCTGGAAGCAAGTACATAGATGCTGTAAAGGAAATGATGATAAAGGATTCATTAAATGAAGATCCGGTAATCAAATGAAATCTAGAACC